CTCTCCTTGATCAGATTTGGCAAGAAGAAATGACCATGCTGGTCCTGCTGCTGTATGGGACTGGGGAAGAAATAAGGCAGAAGAGAGTGGCATTTTTCACTCACTAGTCCTCCCCAGTACCAGTCATCACCATTATTACAAAGCACAACTGCTGAGACCGCACATAATCCCAGAATTTTCAATCCACACCCAGACAAAGCCAAAGAGTAGCTGGGTTACCTGCAAGATTCATGATACGTATAATGACTCCATTCATTGCCAGATTCCTGAGACCTTGCCGGTTACGGATATCCAGGTGCTTGAACAGCTTGGCAGCATATATTTCCAAGGTCACATTGGGATATACCTTCAGGAACTCCAGAATTCTTCTGGAACATTTCCCACAGGGGATAGCAGACAGGAACCAGGTCATGGAGCAAGAAACTGATGGCACAGCCTTGAAACAGTTTTCCAAGAAGTTGACTTCAGCATGTAGGTTACGACTGTTTGAGCACCAGTTCCTCCAGGTGGTACCTCTCCTCCATTTGATTTCATACAGCAGGTATACCACCTTTGGATAACAGCCAGGCAAATAATTTCTTTTGAAGTCATTTGGCTGCATCTTCCACCTGGGACAAAAGTATCAGCAGTACTATGATCCCAAGACTTTAATGATGTTTGATCCCACTGTGCATTGCTCAACATCTCAATATCAGCCAAGCCTCCCACTCTCAGCCTCTCCCATCACAAATGAGCATCTTGAAGAATGCCGCAATCTGGAATTTGATGAGGTTTCCAGAATTATTCCCCTAGAAGTGGCCCTGGTGAAACACCCACAGCACCTCCTGGAGAGAGGTTGAGAGGGTAAGCCACCCCATCACCACTCTGAGATTAGCACTGATCAAGGCAGTGAGAGAACTGGAAAGGAAGATTGAGGAAGGGGAGGGTAAGAGGAAAACAAGATACAAGGCTTCTTAATTTTGCCTGTCTCTAGAAATTGCCATGAGGCCCAGGCAGTGCACAGTGATAGAACTGTATTTCTTACCCTTGGTTGTTCTCTCTGGGTGCAGGATCTATACAGAAAAGATTTGTGAGTCATTTGGGATAGTATATCAGACAACAAAATTTCCTCTACACCTCCTAGTCCTGGCCCTTTTCAATCTGCACACTCCCTGACAAACCTCTTTTATCTAAAAAGGCTTAATAAGTTATCTCCACAGAACAGGATAGCCACTCTGTTATGCAGGAGTGGTGGATTTCTACCTCAGAGCTAAAATTGATGGTGGTTTAGACTATGCTGTGCGTGAGCCCTTTCTCACTTTAACACATTAGGGCTGACTGTGATCTCACTCAAGTTTAGCTTCACTGATTTCACCAGTACTGCATCTGCTTTTCCATGACTAATCAGAGAGCAGAATCAAATATCTTCTCCTTTTTAATATTCCAAACTATTTCTACGAGATAAACCTTGAGCTATTTTCCTGTTGGTACTCATAATGTCAATCTAGACAAAAACATTTTCACAGCCAACAGTTCTTTCTTTTCTTAGCATGAAACTGTTGCAAAAGTTGAAAAAATATCAGTGCCAAGGAAAAAATATCAGTGCAGAAAGCAGAGTTACTTCTGACTAACAAATACCTATGGAGCACGACAGATTTGTCTGATAATATACATTTTTTCTCTCACGGTAGAAAAGAAACTCGACCTTGTGACTCACTCATCCCTTCCCAGCTGAGAGTCTACATGAAAATGATTGTAGGTGAACAAGGCTAGTTATTTGTTTTGTAAAAATCCATCTATAGTAAACTTGAGGACCTAAGAACCTTCATTTTATTGAAGAAAATAATTAATTTACTCAGGATTAATGTACTAAAGCACTTTTCCATAGCTCTTAGCCCTTTAAGATGAGCAATTATGAAATATACATAGTGAAATTAAATTTCAACAGGAATAAAATAGTTTTCCATGTCAGCAGAGATCTGATCAGCAACTTGCACAGTCTTATTGCATTGATTTTTTAAGAGGCATTTTCTAATTGTTTACTCCATAGAAAACAAAACAGGTGAAAAGATAAGCCAACTAATTTGCTCCATTCTTAATTGTCTTTGAGATCTCTTTCCACATTAAGAAGTCTTTTGGAATGTGAATTCTTCCTGCCTAATCACTGTTAATAAAATTATATTGATATTTTGAAGCTGGACCTCACACTCAAGATGTAGTGATGCATTCAAAGACATAACACAGACAAATCCACAAGTGTTGCCTGTGTATCTTCATATACTGACACACACATTTTTCTGTTCCTTAGATGCAACTACAGTAAATATCTACACTGAATATGGAGAAACATACCTGCTTTTCACACACGTGCACTCACCTCTATCAATGACCGCAGCCATGGATATTTCTGGATTTCTCTGTCACTTCTTGGGTCATGGGTGTCCCTTTATTAGTCTTACATTTGTTTCAGTTTCTATTCCTGAAAACTGAACTTTGGGTATTAGTAATGTTATTCAGATGAATATTTCCTTGTGGTGACTTGCTCTTATGCAAACAAACTACGCCACTTGGTGAAACTGAAAGCAAGTTCCTGGCAGCGAAAGACTGCAAAAGAGGGTGAGTCCCATTCAGAAGTGGGAATGTAGATAAGGAATTAACAAAAATTGGAATTAACAGGTGAGCGTTTTGGGGGTTTTTTCAGCACAGAACAGAAATTATATCTCTTTAATGCAACTAGCCCCAGAACAGAAAAGCAACTCTTACCTAGGCACCCCAGTGCACCAAGAGAGAAAGAGCATCTACACAAATCGCATCAAGTCACATAGCTGTGACATGGCAGGTAACTTTTCTGGCACCCAGGTATCACCAAGTTGAGCAGAAGCCGGTGGAGAGGGCGAAACAGAAAAAACTGCATCTGCAAAAGCCTGTGATTTTTTGCATCTCCAGCAGGTGGTGATGGTTACTGCCATTTGCCTTCATGGGACCATTCTGTGGAGTCCCAAGGACCACTCGTACACCCTTGAACCTCGCTCCTCGTGTAACCAAGGAGGACCCTCAATGTGTGTGGTCAGCGACCACAGCAGATGCTCTCAGGCAAACTAAGCAAGCAGCCCAGCATCCAGGAGAACTACGGCAGTGGACAGCTCGTTGAAAGGGAACACCCACATTATTTTATGAAACTTGGCAACTGATAAGAGCTCTGTAATCGGATGGACACCCTGAGTGCAAGACCTGAGCCAGCTAGTGAGTATCTGCAGAAGCTATTGGTCTTGACAGGTGTAAAAAAGAACAGGCTTTGCTCAGCATTATGAGCTGGGCGTCACCTCCCTATGATCTGCTCTGTAGCTCACACAAGATGAAACAAAAAAATATTTCCCATTTGATCTGAAAAATGCTTGAAACAATGCTAGTTGCTAGTGAGAAGCTTCCCTCTGACTGACGCACCCAAAACTGGCTTGCAGAGCAAAGAGATTACAAAAGAATTCTTTGTATGGCTTTCTTAGAGATGCTGTGCTGAGTCAGTCTCTGTCACTTATAGTTTCCTCTGATTTTGTGACACAATTATTTTGTGGACTGATGATTTCTGAATTCTGGCAGAAATAGATCCCTGGGGAGCCATTGTCCAGTAATGTGCACTCCTTGAGGACAAAGCCATTGCCTTCCTCAATGCCAAATCTGACTCGGGACTGCAAAGCTAGGGGAGTGATTTATTTGTATTCTCCGAGGCCAGCCCTCAATTTTCTGTTGTTGAAAAAATATTCGGTTTTCTGCAAGGGCAGAACAAACAAAAGTGACCATGAATGGTGGAGTACAGAGGGAAAGA